CCTTCCCTCTAGTCTTACACTGCTAAATTAGGGACTGTTAGCGCAGATAGCCCTCGTGTAGCTTTGCGCGAAATGCAAAGCAACAAAGCCAAATAATTTTATTCTTTAATAATTATTTCTCCAACAAAAGTTTAAAAATACTCTAAAGTGAAAATAAAACCACATCATAATGCAAAATATATTCTACAAATTTATAACTGTAGCAGAAAAATAATTTTACAGAAGAGCAAACCTGCACCGGGGCTTCCACATTTTGAACCTATTGTTGTAATGGTGATTGCATTTCCATCTATTCTGTTTCCGTGGGTCATAAAACCATGTATTTGTATTTTTTGCTTATGAGGTTATCTATCGCAGTCCCTAATTTTGAACTATTCTGACCAGAAGGAAGGCAGCCAGTTAGCACCTACCTACCATCCATGTTAATAGATTGGCTTTCACTCATGTAACGCATGTACAGATTAAAGTTGAGTAATATATTGTGATGGGGCACAGATTCTAATCCGTGTCGCCATCTACAAAATCCAAATCTCTCCTACAGGGTCAACCGCCCCCTCTCACAAACCAAGTAAAAAACAACAACAAACATTTAGTATTATTAACAGAGGGCGCTAAATTTTTCATCCTTATCTTTTTAACTTGAGAAGGATCAAATAACTTGTATTTCCAGTACTAGTAGTAATTTTATGATTTATCATATGGACGAAATGTGTTGATTGTTATGAATCTGGTGATATATCAGGAATTGGTGTTTGTATCGGTTGTAAGTTCTTATTATCAAAGTATTAGAGCTAATGATCTTGGTTGAACTTGAACGTAAATGGTACAGTAATATCTTAATATTATGGGATAAACTAAGAGTAAGGCTAAAGCAGGTTATCGTTTCTTTGTATAGGTCCCTCGTTAGACCTCGTTTGGAGTATTGTTTAGTCTTCGGCTCATTACCTTAAGCTTAAGGAAGATACTGGGTTGTTGGAAAGGGTTCATAGAAGGGCTACAGATTACAATGATTATTACTGGGATAGAGGGGCTGTCATATGAGGAGGTTCTTAAAATGATTTTTTCTAGAGAAATAGGGGTTAGAGGGGAGCTGATTGAACTTCAGTTTGAATAAGGTGTTTATAATTATAAAGTGGGTGTGTAGGATTGATGATTTATTTTTTCGAGACTTTAATAATCATTAATTGTAAAACTTGATAGGACTAGGGGATATAGATATCAAATTTTGCAGTATGTCTAATGCAATGTAATTTTCTGAACAGGGTGGTCAACCTGTGAAACTGATTACTTTCAGATGTGGTTGATGAATACTTACAAAATCGGAGCTGGACATGGGTATATTAAATTAATGAGATAGCCAGAAAAGGGCCAAGTGGCCATTTGCCCTTCAAATTCAAATTCAATGTCATGAATCCTGGAAAGGATTACAAAGGGGGGCTTTCAAGGGTATAGAATATTTAATTGGCAGTTGGTCATACACTGGCCAGTGAGGTCAGGGTTGGGAGACTAATTTTAGAAAGATGAGGAAAAGATATTTCTTGAAGTGATTCTAGATGATTTTCTATAATGTAGTCCAAATATTGAGCTAAGTACTCATTTTACAATTTGACACCAAATGGTACAATGGTAAGTGTCAAATTGCTTAAAAGGTGCCAAGCCCAATATTTGGGCTACTATACCAAATGGTGAGAATCAACCATGGTGTTCTCCAGTGGGACATTTTAATTCCTAGTTTACAAAAAGCCAAATTTGAAGCCATGAGACAAAATTTATCACTAATATTAGTGAATTGGGATAATGTGTTACGAGATATTGCACACATAAATTGATTTTAATTCAAGAGAGGCATGTTCTTAAAAAGAGGAAAAGGATAACAGGGAAGATCAAACCTAATTGGTTTACTTAAGACATAAAGGAGAACATTAGGGATAAATGACACAATTTTAAGATGACAAACTGGTTGAAAGATGTACAGAAATATAGAAAAGTTAGGTATTTGGTTGAATAGAACATAAGAGGTAATTCTAAGAACTCACGAGTAAAAGCAAAGAAGAATATGTTGTAATATGTTAACCATACTACATCTGATATATCCTATCTGATGAGGCCTAGGCCTAGTACTAGGGCTCATTGGGCCGGCTGGGATACAACAGAAATAGTAGTGGTCTAGATGATATTTAAATCATCAGTTGCAGGTGTGAACTAGATTAAGTAAATGAGTTGTAATTATTATCAATTTCATTTAAGTCATCTACAAGTTAGAATTATGGTGAGGATTAATCACAAAATATTTATTTCTAACATCAGTTATGTATTTATTTTTTTACTTGAATTAACTTCATTCAGAACTACTGGCAAACCACAACAAAAGGACTTATGAGAAACAACCAGCTAATAATTTAAAAACTTAGAACAAGGAGGTTTTTAAGTATGTTAAAGGTAAGCAAAATATTATTGGGCTCTTGAAGGTTGCCATTAATGGAGTTCAGTCAAACTGGACTTTAACTAGTGAAGTGCCTCAGGAGTCAGTGCTTGGGTCTTTGCTTTTTGTTATTTACATTAATGATATTGGTAAGGGTGTAATTAATAACGTTTGTTGATGACAGTAAAGTTTTGGGTATTTCTAGCTGTTACTTTGATTATTTGATAAGTTCAACAAATATTTGACAAATGACTTTAAATTGTAGTACAGTATGAGCAAAGTAATTAATGCATTTGGATTATAACTTGGATCATACACTTAACATGGATTGGAATCCACTTAACTCAATAGTGTGACTGAAGAAAAGGATCATTGCATTGTAGTGGATTAGTTATTCAAACCATTAAAATAATGTTAAGTAGCTTGTAGTACAGCTTATAGCATTTTAGGGCTTACTTATATACACTGATTACAAGACATAAGAGGTATTTATCTCTGTATACAAATCTCTTCTTAGGCCTTACTTGGAATATTGTGTATAGTTTTGAAGTCCTTATCTAATAAGTGATATTAACTTATTGGAAAAGGTTCAGAGGAGGGTTATTGGGTTGATTTCTGAGATGGGTTGTTTTACATGGATGTATTAAAATCTTTAAACTTATTTTCTCTCTAGAAAAGAAGTGGTCTTATTGAACTTGTTTAAGTTTACAAGGGTATCATTTGTATAAAGGCCCCTTATTTATTTTTGCTGTATCCTGAAGATAATAGGGTGAGAGGATACATGCTTAAGATTTCGAAAAACAGATTATACTCCAGTTTTATTTTTCTAACAGGATGATTAGCCTATTGAACAAGTTGCTATTGCTAGTAGTTATATTAGCACCTTACAGGTGTGTAAGTGGAGAAAATTGTAAATTTCTTAGGGATGGGTGTGAAAGAACAGCCTTGAAGGACAAAATGGTCCTTTGTTAACTGTATCTTATGTAGCAAGAAATAATTACTTAAGAAAAAAAAGTAAATAACTTAATATACAGATTGAAAATTATGTCCAACTGTATTTTTTGTTGATTGATTTAATATGAAACCAGTTCTTTATCGCTTAGTTCTGGAAATTTTTATAGCATTAAGTAACTTGCCTAGTAGAGCTTTCATTTAACAGTTTTCTTTGATATGAGTTAGTTAAGTAGTTATTACAAGTAATAACAATGGAAACTCGTACAACATCCACTTTACTTTATACATGTTGTGTCACATCATAGCCTAAAAGAAACTCTTTATGAGTTCTAATTTATTTTGTCTTGTTGAGCTTGTAGATAATTAGCAACCATTACAATTATTGTTTATAATTTTTTGAAGTGCATGTGCTGTCTCAAGGTTGATTCTATATTAATAAGAAAATATGAGTTGTGTGATATCCTCCAATGAAGAAAGAAGGAACACATTTGAAAATCATATTGTAATTATTTTTAGTACAATCCATGATACAATACTTTGTTAAAAACTTTTGCTGCAAATGTTATTTGATGTTTTGTTTACATTTCATTATCTAGAAAATATGCTCTGTACATGATAAGAAAATCATATTTCTTTTCTTTAGAATCAAAGAAAGTACCAGTTGAAATTTGAAAACATACCAGCTCTCGTCAGTGAAAATGGCATTTCATTCTTTTAGGAAGTTAACTCATCTACAGACAAGACTTTCCTTGTATCTTTGTGCAAGAAAACTGTCAAATGCAACTCTGCCACTCACTTTCCTTTGCCAGCATTATTATCCGAAAAGCAATATTAAAACTAGAATGCCATCTTTTGTTTTGGACTGTTCTAATAAGACTGCATGTAAAGCTGGTCAGAATAGTTTTCTTCTTTCTGCTCAGCTAGTATGTACTTCTTCAGTTCAGAATTTGAAAGAAGATCATAAAACCAAAGCTCTGCAAATAATTTCTGACTTACGCCACCTCAAAGCCTCTCCTGCTGCAGCACTGACATATGGGTTTTTAGGCCTTATTCCTTTCCTTGTACCACCTTTTTATATAATGTCATCAGAGGTTTACATACCTTCATTAGCTTTTGCTCAACTGGCATATGGAGCAGTAATATTATCCTTTTTAGGTGGAGTTCGATGGGGCATAACTCTACCCGAAGAAAGTATTGTTAAGCCAGATTGGCAGTGTCTCGGTTATAGCGTTTTGCCATCTTTGATTGCATGGGTTGGACTGTTGCTTCCAGATTATCTGAACACACTCACTGTGATAGGTGGATTAGGCTTAGCTGCTTACCTGGATACCACCATGTATGGTTATCCTCCTTGGTTTAAGGCTCTGCGATTTACTTTATCATTTATTGCTTTATTAGCTTTATGGACAACACTAACTTGTAGTTTGATGTATGAGCATAAAGGAAAGGCTAAGAAAGTGCAAGTGCTAGAGAATATCGATTGAAAGGTTCTAAAGCACTCTCTAATGAGAAGGTTAGTCAAACTGTGGACTCAGTTAAAACATGCAGTTCTATTAGGAAATCTTGAATGTTTAGTTTAATTATTTATTACATTAACCTAAAAGAAGTAGTTTTTTTTTCAGAGCCAAACTAGAAAAGGACTTAAGTTTTCTAGATTATAAAGCAAAACATTTCTTGAAATTACGTTATTAAGACCACCAATGTTTTTGTAGGATATGAAAAAGAAACTCATTTTTGTTGCACCATAGTTTTTAATAAAACTAATAAGTTAGAAAACTGGATTGATTGTTATTACTGATACATTAGTCAATTGCAAGGGTTTCAGAAACATCATATATTATGCTGAATGTGGTTACAAGGCATAATAATAATGATATTATTTTAAGTCAAAGTACATGTTTTTATGCATTAATCTACTGTTTTATATATATATATATATATATGTAGGAACTTAAAAGAACTTGTGCTCAGTAAACCATTAAATCTTGTTCAAAATTTACATGTACTAATAAAACAAGTTAAAAAACAGTTCTAAACTTCTTTTTTTTTTACAAAATTACAGTACTTCAAGTTTACAATGTACATATCTGTGATGTTTGTCAATATGTCAAATTGCAATGTAAATGTAACAATTTTGTACAATCCTTGTAATGCTTTCCTTTGTATCTTGTCTATAAAGAAAACAGTATCCAATAAGCAAAACTGTCGAATTTCGATCTTTTACACATTCATATACATTTGTAGTACATGTTGTATTAGGAGTTGAACCACATAACATGACACTGTTCACACTACTTGTTAAGTACTAGCTTCTTTCAAAGTACACTCAAGGATTAAATTCAGATGCATGTAATATGTAATGTACTTTTTCATGTTCAAGAAGTCATTAAGAAGACAAAGTTTAATGCAGTTTGGAGCCTTACTGTTTTTGCTAGATCTTATTTAGGCCTTTGATATTTAATTCATAGCTTTTGAATAAAGGTATCTCCCTACCTTGTGCTAGAAATAATAAAGATGAAGAAAAAAACATACTTTTCAACTTTTCACAGTCTATATTTTTTACTGTTAAATACTTTGTGAAGGTATTTATAAGTACTGTCTCAACCTACACATTTTTAAAAATTTAATGGCCGTATTTCCTGCTGGAAATACTAAACTTATAGCAACTGAAAAATAAATGTTCAGTTCATTTCACAAGTGGAATATTTTACTTAAATACTCTGTGAAGGTTCTTTTGGTTGCTCATGTGCTTTGTGAATACACAGAAATTTGTAGTTTTGTATCAGTGTTCCAAAATCTATGTAAATTGGTAGGTGGAACCTCACCCCTAACTGTACAGTAAGATTAACATGATATGCTATGTATTAATCATCATACTTTGATATCTATTCAATATATACATATATAATATTTTATCACCAGTTAGCTGAATTTTTATTTTCAAGACCACACACAAGGATTAGTAAATTTTTATTGAAATAAATTAGTGTTACAGTTATCCTCATACATCTTGCTTAAAGATGTATAGGCCTTTTCTTATCTTTTCATCAGATTATGGGGGGAAAAAAGTTTAAACTCAATTTATATCATACTTGTTAAAACTAAATCTGTTATTCATGTGTAACTATATTTGTTATTCAAGGGATGACTAATTAAATATTGAAATTTTTACAAACAACACAAGTTTAGAAAGTCCTTTTATTTATATCCATCAATACATTTTCTAAATTCAGTTAGATACTGAGAAAACTCACTGTGACAGAGAAACTTGGAATATATACAGTTTATCATAAACAATGGTTAATAATGAATGTGTGTGTAAAATGAGTATGGTCTAGAAAGAGATTTGTAAATGTAGATTTCAGATGAAAGTGAAAAGCATTCATTCAGTGAGTGTTACAAAAATAAGCAAATACTATATACAAATGTTGAACAATTTTCAGAACATTTGAAAGTAAATTTTTAAACCATATTTTACACACTTCATTTGATAATTTACAAACAAAATATTTAACACCACTAAGTCAAATCAAGCTCTTGATATTTAACGAATATTCATAATTATTATTTCAGGAATAGCATTATAACTCTACTAACACTGTTATCAATCCAAAATAAAACGGGATAAAATACACTTCCACAGTCAATTATTTCAAAGTGCAATCTTTATTATCACAACCAAATCTATCAATATTTTTCTTCCTGAAATATGAAATACATATAAACCAGTTATTTTCACTTGTATTTACTAACAACACAAAATTATGCATCAGTAATTCTATTACTTAGACTTCAAAAACTTTAATATGTAATAGTTATGCACATATTACCATATAATTTTATATTTCTATGCCACCTGAAAATACATAATATACTACCCAAAATAGAAAACATGGAAACACAATCTAAATTAAATGTAAAATTTTCAAAATTCTGAAAAAATATTCTCCCAAAGTTTTATCTTTTGGGTTCCATAAAGTGAGTTTCTAAATAATGACAACATCATTACTTTGTGTATTTTAAAACAACAACAAAAATGGCACATTCCTTTGTTAGGAAAAGATAAAATTAATACCTTTGATATCTGTTAAACTACATGTGTAATCTTACAGTACCTGAAACAAATAATAATAGTGCACTCAAAAACAAGCTCCTGATTTGGCACTTGTAACACATAAGTACACTTTTGTACTTGGGTATTACAAACTTTAACAAATGTACAGTACTTGACATACATGATTTTAACAACAAAATGTATAAGGCAACAGTACATTGTACTAGTCAAAAGTTTTCTTGTGATTTAAAAACCTATTCTACCAATAAAAGAGATCAAGTGTAGGTATCTAAATCAGCAATTTTGTTTAATCAATGCTACCTACTTTTAATGTCTCAAAATCCAAATAAGTTTTTATTGTTCAAGGCTAATAAACAGTCACAAAACAACCAGTTTCAGACAGGTGTATTAAACAACACTCGATTTTTGTTCACTATCCTACTGTTTTTCAAGCTGATGATTTTGATTATAATTTTTGTTCTTAAATACCAACAAGTAGTCGTTTACATAAGAACTATAAATATAGCTTTCTTACAAGTTTGGACCCTGAGATAGTCTCTGTGCTTATGATTCTAGTAATAATTATATCTAAGAAGGTTCTTACTTTACTCCATTAGTTTGTTTCAATTGTACATGTATATTGCAACACAAGTTGAACTACATGGGCCATATGTATCAACAATAAAATTAATTTTTAACTTTGTTTTGTACTAGTGGTTAGAATAAATTTTTTGTATAATAATGTTAAACTTTCATTAAACAAAATCAGAAAACAAGTAAAACATGCATCTTTATATGGTATGTATCCCATTAATGAACATTTAATGTTCTATGTATTATTGTAACACAGTTACCTTACAGTCTGGATTGTGGTTTTGATTTTTTTCCATTTTACCTTAATCCCATCTAGTTTGGGAGAAACTGGTATTATTGCAAGCCAAAAATATTTATACTAGGATGGCTGGCTCAGTAAGCAACCATATAGGACGAGAATGTTTGGTGACGAGAATTTGAACTTGCAATCCTCAGCACCCTAACCACCAGGCCCTATGGTTTTGATTAAATTCTGTTAATACTGTTAACTCAGTGCTTTGATAATAAATGCTTTCACACTTAGCTGGTATAGTAATATTTTTCTTGCTACAATCATGTTTCATAACCTGAAGTAGCATAGCATTCAATCTGATTCTAGCATGTCATTTTTGTTAAGGTTTTTTTGCACAAACATAATGTAAAAACAGGGTCACAGGTGGGTATTTCAATAAAAATAGCAAAAGTATGAAAATAGTAATTATTTTTATTGCAAAAGTAAAATATACTTGTGATGATGATTAACATCAGAACCACAGAGAAATGTAAAAATACAATTTTACAGAATAAGCAGAGATTTCTAATGAGGAGTTCTATTTCATTTATTCTTATTAGTATCAAGCAGAAATTCTATAGTTCTACTAAGAAACCAAAGTTCCATGGTCATTCATATAAAACTTTAAATGAGCAATAACATTTGTAATTTGAAGTCAAATATTAAATATACAAACAGAAAACCTTGTATTTTCCACCCATTTATCTGTACAACTATAAAGAAAATCAAAGTGGATAATCTAATATTGTAATACATACTATTACAAATGTCTGCCAGAAGTGTATTATATGCTTTTATTGAACAAATATCAAACTATATCAATATGAGTTTTTGTGTATTCACAAAATTTGACATATGCCATCTATCAAATTGTACAATTAAATCAGCTGGTTTCCAACACCTTTAATAAACTGTTAACTTCATTACATTGTAAACTAGGTTATGACTGACTGGGCTTTGTACATGCTTTTTCGGTTACAAAAAATCAGAGAAATGGGTTGTTTTAATAACATACTTTACTAGTAACTATGTGCTGTTAAGTTTTCAATATTAAGATTTGCAGTTTTTTAGTACGATGTAAGATTCTAAGAGAAATGTCTAGATATTAAAACTTTACTAATAAAAATATGTTATATTTTAAAACCCATTTTCAAATAATACCTTTAATAATTTACATTTTTATAAATACAATTTGTACTTGAACTTTAGAAAGGATGAACATTGTGAATTTTATATAAAACTACAGAAAAATATGTAGAAAAATTTGTCAAAAGTTATACCAATTAATACATATATGATTTTCTTTACAAGTTACTTTTCATATTTTTATATGTAAAACTACTTGGTAATTTCAAGCATCAAAAGAAGTCTTGAAGAATGGTATTAGCAATATAGATATCTATTATCAAACCCTTGAAATAATTTTTCATCTACATGTTGTGATATTAACAGATAGAAAGTATAAAGCTACCAAACCATGTAAAGTTTTAATTGCTTGTATAAAAACATTTTACTAAAGTCTGAAGTTAGAAATTCATAGATTGGCAATGTTTTTCATCCAAAAGTTTTAAAGTTCATTACATGAAAACTGAATGAATTCAAATAATGTTTTCATATCATAAATTTAAATAAAGTAACAATTAGTGAAGATTTGCACATATTTTGAAGAAAAAAAGAACATTCTCCCATCTCTGGTATTCTACATTTTTGTAACATGTAATGTTTAATATTAGAAAATACTTTAGCAGAATACCTTTTGTGCTGAAAGTATGAGCAAAATTAAGCCAAATATTTTTATGACCATCAATGTTAATGGCATCTATTACTGATTAATCCTTCAACACTTCAGTAGAACACAATATTTCATATTAATTACCTTTAATTATTTAGCATTGACAGATAAGAAAAAACAACAACAGGAAATTCTATTGTGGTTTTGTCAATAATTTGACAGAAGCCTAGGAAAAAACAACAACATATATTCACACTTGGATAGGATGGAACATACCAAGTTTGTATAAGAATTTAATTACAATAACATGTTGCATTCTACCAACTTTACAGTATCAAGTGATAATCTACAGCAAAAATTTGAGATGTATATTTAAAATATATTGAAAATAAATCTTTAAAGGTGAAAATGCAAATAAACAACTGTACCTAAGAGCATGTCAAATGAGATTTATCGCTCATTAAATGCAAAAAAAGGACCTAAATACTTACTGAGGAAAATGAAAGGTACCAGTAATTTCTTAAATGGCGAAGGTTATCAGAAGAAGACAGACAAGGAATAGATGATTAAAGAAGTAACTATTAAGTCCATATGAAAACAATCAAGAATAGTTGTATTCTTTAAAGCCAATAGGTACTCATGACTTGAATGAACCAACCTTTTTGTGACTATTATTTACATTTCATTTAGTAAAATCACAGTCATTCAAGATTGTTTCCCTTGTCAACTTCTGTTTGAAAACGTTTTTCACATTCAACATATTAATACTTTAAGAACTATTTCTTCTAAACAAGGTAAGTTGTATGCATAAATTCATAAAAATCTAAATCTGACAAAGGCCTATAACTTTTTTTGTAAAAATCAACATTTTGAATACGACTTATAATGTCCTATGAATCTGGTTCCCAATCAGTCATTTCACTCTTTCTTCATTGGTGACAGAGACATCACAATATTTACACAACAGTTTTTTTTGTCTTATTTTCTTGACAGAAAAATCATAATTTCAAAGTAACACAATTATGATAAATTAAAGGTCAGAAATATTAACATTGTATGAGACCAAACATTTTAATATGTTTAGTTATGTTGACCAGTTTAACATTTAATAATATGAACATCATAGGTGTTCAAGTCTACTTTATCTTATCATATGAGATTAATAACTAGACTTGAAATTTCTTTAACTCAACATGTCACATCTTACATCAAATTAAGCCTATTGTGTTAATGTTTCATCATCATTTGTTTTCATCTTTTTCAACATCATTTATACAGAGACCTGTATTTTGTACACCACATACATATGAATTACTGATGGAAACATTTCCACATACAATAGTTTCAGTGATTTCAAATTAAATCAATATTACATTTCCATCTAATATTGTTTCCAAATAATTCTACAATGATAAGAAGTCAAACTAATTTGTGCTTTTATTATTTTTCATTAGTGAAGATAAGCATCATTATATATATAGATATTATCATAAAATATATTATAATAATTCATAAGCTAGCTCCACAAAAAACCCCCATACCTTCCTCATTTTCAATGTACATAATCACACTATCATTTGCTGTAAAAAAAAAAAGTTAAAACTGTAACCAATATATATAGATTTGACACCTAACAACAGTCATAATTAACCTTGTATTAAATATATACAAAGCTTTAATTCTAAAATATTGAAAATCAGTTTGATGTGTGAGCTACTGGGAAAGTTTAGTACTTTCATTTCTCTCTCCATATTTTAATTTTACAACTGGAACTTGTAACAGATTCAGTTATATCAATGATTCGTCGAAGTTAGATAGAGAGAATAGTACCAATATTAACAATCAAAATGAGGAAGCAGAACACTGTTTTTATGCATCTTTAATATGATAGTCATCCAGTGAGCAATTATCTGAAAGGAACTTTTCACAAAGTGTTTCAATGCTTATCTTAATAAACAGGAGACAACACTTCTAATATTTTGCTATGTACGTTAATACATAATGTCATGGCTCTCATTAAAAGGTTTTTAACAACTGTTACTGAGATAGTTCAAAAACCCATACTTTCTGATTGATACACTCTCCGAACAAAGTATTAGCTGTAAGAAAACCTAAAAATTGATATTATATTTCATAAACACTAATTTACTAATAACAACAAATATTTCAATCGAGAAATTAAACAAATTTCTACTATTAAAATTTCATGGCATTAACAATTTATATTTTTTGTGGACTCAAATGAGGTAGAATGTGGTATGATATCAGGGCACAAAAAGTACGAAGTTAAGGGATAAAAGAGCAATATTATAATGGTCTGTTTTGGCAAATTACATGTAAATGTTCAGCAATATGTTTTATAAAATAATTGTTCAACGTATGATGATACTTACAGAAAGTTATTACTATTGTTTTATACTTTATGTGCAGTAAAACTTAATACATTTATTATGTACAATTTCAAACTAAATAACACAAATACTACTGATATTAAGTACTAACTCTCTTTGTTTCTATTACAAAACACACATTTTCCACCATTTTTGAGTAAACAAAAATTGTCTACTAGTTTTTTGTAGTCCATCAAATCTATAAGCCTACTTTAAGGGGCTTGAAATTAACTTTTCATCAATAGATGCAACTGATCAGCTAACACAAATTCTAATATTTTATATTTTTAATATATTATGAAATTTTAGATCTATCTTTGTGATGATAATTACATTTTGTAACATGAAATGAAGAGAAAAAGAAGATATAATATCATAACATTAAAGCATCATTTGAACTTGCTGTTTTTATTTACTATTTTAGACTTGTGGATTCTCACTGATCAATTATTGTCATGGTTTTTCCAATAAATCTTGTACTTGCAGCCAGTAATTTGTTAACTTATATTTTAATATAAATTTGACCATTGTCTACAACTAGTCTGAATATTAACAATCATGCCTAGATTATCAACTGACAAAAGAAAAAAAAAAAAAACCAGGTCATTGACTTTTTATCATCTAGTCACCACTAAATTCAAGCTGACTAAAAATAACCTCTACAAATCTGAAATCATAACATGTGTATATTTCTCTATTTATAGATGTGTATTCACAAAATATGTTTGATCAACCAGTTGATATCACAGAATATTTTTCTAATTGAAGAGCAATAGTATGTTCTTATCAAGAAGAATTATGAAATATGATTTATGCAATGGAATGTTTTGAAGATTTTATCTGGACATGCTATCACAGATTTTACGAATGACATGTAATTATAATACTATTGACAGTTTTACTTATGATAACCATTTGAGAGCTTTCACTTTTTGCAAATTAACATTATGAAGTATAAATTGCAAAGCTGGAATGATTATTACATTACTTCAAACTTTACATTTGTTTTACATGTTAGATACTGCAAGAAGAGTCAAATGTTTCTTAACTAATTGTTTATGAGTTCTGATTTGAGCCTAAAGAAATATTCACAGGAATGAACTAAAAAAATATTCTTATGCATAAGCAAATTCCTAATGAGCTTAAACACCTGAGTGGATCATGAAAAACCTAAAAAACCATCATAATTAACTTCATGTTTGTTATTAATGGCTTTGTTCATACGTCTGCAACAGTGGATCAGATTTTAAAAATATGATATACTATTTGCAAAGTATGTGTTAAATATATCATTTAGTAATAACAAAAATAAAGTGATGAAAAAAATCACTACAATGAAAAATTATTTGATTTGGTTGTCCTTACTACTGTACATGAACATCACCCACTGTGCTTTAAAGCAAAGGTGTAATTGTTTTTTTATGAAATATACACTACATATCTATTAAGTTCGCCTTACACATTCATACTTCAATAACTATACCCTATATGAAGCATCCAAAAATTTAGTTTTACAAACTTAAACTACTCGGCCACAATCTTACTTTTAAAGTATTCCTTATTTCCATAGTAAATAACTTTTGCCAGCTCTTGGTAATAATAATAATAAAAAATGCCCTATCTACTCTCCCAAAAATTCCAGGCTTTAAACTACAGTACTTATCAATATAAAATAATATAAGTGCAATTTTATGTGGCTATTAATGTAACATTCAAACACAAAAATTAACTTTAATGCATAGTTTTACCCTTCTCACTCATTTGAACTTAATTTTTTATAAAATGAAAATTAATGATGACATCAAGTTAACCTTTTTGGTAAACATACCTTTTTTTTATAGAGCAAAGACCTTATTATAAAAAGCTTGGGTGGTTTATAGTTCCATTGCTCAAGCAAATAACATAATCTACCAATAACTACTTTAATTTTTTGTGCACAATTTCTAGAAATATAAAATGATAAAACTGGCCCAATATCAGCTTCAACTGGTTTCCAGTGATACACTATAATACTATAACACACATGGAACTGTGTAAAAATACCACATGAATTTATGATTGAAGATAGCATAAATACCTGATAAAAAACAACACAGGATATGCAGAACCTCATATTCAGCTGTGGCCTTTTGTAACAAATTAGGAAATTTGTTTGCTCATTTTGTGTTTTCAAGTTCATATAGTAGAATATTATTTTTGACAATATTAGAATAATGCAACTACGCCAATAGTAAATTGTTTGTAGAAAAAGCAAAACATATTTTACTAGCCACAGTAAAAATGAAAAACTTTTCCATCTTTTCATGTGTGTATACAATCTTATTCTTGATTTTCAGCCATTGTTATTTGCTTCTGGTTCAGAATATTGACTATATATATCCTATATCACAATTCTACCTGAAAAATTTTTAACCTGTAACTTTTTCCTTAACATCAGGAAAACTGAAAGACAAGGTTTGAGAGACATTGGGGTGAACATTTTTGTTTCTCTTTATTTATATTTTCAAATTATTTGTACCAAAGTACTTGGATTATGAAATATGGCTTTTAACTTGTCCTTCTGGGGATGGAGTTACCATAATTTATTTATTAATAATCTGATCTGACTTGATGGAGTAGCTAACAAACTCATCAGGGTTAAAAAAAAAAACATTTTTAAAAATAACATCATATTTTACATAAAAATGCTTTTTTTTTACTTTTATCAAGTCATTGTACTAGTTAGTTCTCGTGCATCACTAGAAGCTCCGCTGATGACAGCTACATCCAAGTTGTCACAATTAGAATTCTTCAAAGTTACATTAGACGGCTCAGGTGGAAGAGACTCTTGCTTGCCTTCTTCCAAGGACTCCACATATTGCAAGTTTAGGTCTATGCTAAACTTTGAATAGTTGTGGTTGTCCTCAGTGTCATTAAATGTCCTAAACATTCTAACAGCATTAGGAAGGCTGACATACTCTCCAGACTTTGGCAACTGGCTTGCCAAGCTAAGTTTAGAGTAAGCATCTTTATAGGGGAGAGAATTTGTAGTTGCTATGTGGGTGGGTTTTATACTGGTTATTAAACTAGATTCAAAAACTGGTTTGGTCAGGACATAACCTTTTGTTGGCATCTTTTCTATGGAAAACTGTGGTGCTGCTGTAAAGTTACTGCCATTACCTTTCGGAGAATGTTCTGAAGATGATCTCAAAATATGAAAAACTCCAAATTTGGAATACCCTGCATTTGGAGTCATATTTTCTGGCTGTTCTTGCAGTGCACTTGAGTTTAATGACAAACAAATACTTTTGGCTAAACCAAACCTGGAGTAGGGAGCAAGTGTTTGATCTTTTGTGCTGACATCTGCCCCTTCACCATCAATATCAAAAACAGATGGTTCACTGTTGGATAAATTATTTGTGAATAGAGGTTGGGTGTTGTGATGTTTATCATCCTGATGTAAAGGCTGGGAATCAGAAACATCTGCCACTTGGTTCAATGGATTTGTTTCTTCTTTATTATCAGCAGAATTCTGGAAATCATCCATTTCCAGTTTGGTTTGAGAGTAGATGAAGTGGTCACTTCCAAGAATATTACAATCCATAAAGACAGTATCAGGTGTATCAGGACCAGTCAGGTGAAATTCTGTGTTGCTCTCAGAGGAAAGGTGGGTACGGTTGGTGAGAGAAGATGAAATGCTATCGTGGCCACCAGTAGACCCGTAACCACTACTGTCCCCACTAGGATTTCTTCCAATGTTAGTACTCCAGACTTTCCTTTGAATTAACTGGTAAAGACAATTAACTGGATATATTTATGATACTTTTTCATGTGACTATTAATCACAAAAACATATAATTTCAACAGCTACAATTTCGCAGGTTCGTGGCAGTCTCATAGTACAATATCTCACTCCCACAATTAAATTTAACAGTATTTTTATTTTCACTGAAATAAATATACTTCCTATTACTTTCATTTATATACTGAACAATACAAATATGCAAGTACATTGTTCTGTATTGTTTTTTACAATTCTTATTATACCACTTATAATAGTTAAGAGATTCTAACAATGATGCTGAAATTAAATTAGTATTACTACAATAAATTTCTGAAAAAGTTATTTTGATTTTTTTTTAGTGTTTTATTAAAGCATATTTTGAACACGTTACTTAATTCCGAAAATTAAAAACAAAAATAGAAAGGATGTAAACAAAAATGGATGACTAATTTTACAATTTCAAACTTAGAACAAATATTTTCGACTGAATAATTTATTATTTCTATGTACCTGTAGTTCACAAAAGTATTCAGATAACTTGATTCTTTAGAATGAAGTGATGATATCTCATGATACCAGGAACTAATATCATGGTGTTAAGCACTATTAATTAGTGAATAAAGTAACTATTACACTTTTGGTGCACATAAATAATTAACAACAAAGATCAAACTGCATTACAATGCTGTACACACACAAGACGGAGGAACTAAATCATGTTACACTTGGTGAACGTCAAAGATTTTGGAATTGCTTTTATTTTAAAAGTTTTTTCTATTAACACATTGACTGCTGACTCTTTAATAGTATATACCACACCCATTTGCCAAGTATGCATGTGCATATACCTTATATTCAGATTGAAATGCAGACTGATGATACCAATGATAGCCAGTCTTGTGAATATGGCAACCAAATGGTTTCATGAGACTCTTATTTTTCAAAGGACGTCAATGCAGTACTGGCAGCACGTGGAAGACCTAGAATCTACGGGATCCGCAGCAGAGGACCATGTGGTTCTGCTACATCAGTTCGTGATAAAAGAGCAGCCTAGAGGAGCAGTTGGAGGTGTGAACCCTGGTGTCCCATTACACAACTGATCGAATGTTGTGCAAGATCCACCCAATTTTACTTTCAATGAAAACTATGGTCTTAGAATTCAGTTAAAAGATGCTACACCTAGTGATTATTTTGACTTATTTCTGTCTCTGCAATAGCTAGATATCATGGTCACAGAAACAAATCGATATGCAACAGCTAAATCAACAAACAGCAACCACTGAGCAGAAAATCACGTCTAAAATATTGGAAGAACACAGATATAACAGAAATGAAAAGATTTCCTGCCTTGTTGATTAACATGGGTCCAAACAACTACCTACCTTGGAGCAATACTGGAGTACTGATACTCTGTACAAGACACCATTTTTAGTGGTGTTATGAGTCACAACCATTTCCAAATGCTCTTATGTTTTTGACATTTTGCAGACAATTCCAAACTTAAAGATGATCATTTGTATAAAGTACAAGCTCTCCTGGGTCATTTCATTACTGAAATGATCCATATTTACTACCCAAGAAAAGATTGGTGAGTCCATGGTACTTCGGTGTGGCAAGCTCTTGTTTCGACAGGATATCAAAAATAAACACTACAAATATGGAATCAAACTCTATAAACTATGCAAATCTTGAGGTCTGTTGCTGAAAATTCAAATATACTCTGGAACTGGTCTTGATTATCATGCTGGCTTGGAACAGGCTACAGCTGTTATGCTTCATCTGTTGGCTGAGTATCTAGACAAAGGTTATGTCAAGTACACAGATAATTATTAGAATTCCGTAAATCTTATGAAAAAACTGACTGAGTGATCAACCTACATATGTAGAGCACTCCAGTTTGGCTGTAAAAAATCCGAAGGATGTGGTCCAGAAAAAGTTGAAGAAAGGGAACGTGAATGGAAATGGTCAGACTTAGTAGTAGTTTGTAAATGGAAGGACAAACAGGAAGTGCTCACAATAAGCAACATGCAATGAGTGGAGATAGTTGAAGTTATGAAGCGGAATAATAAAATTTTGAAGAAACCCAATATAGTCCTTGATTACAACAATGGCATGTCTGGTATACACAGACTTGACAATATGTTGTAGTGTTACTCAGCTCTACGTAAGACAATACAATAGTACAAGAGGATTGCCCTTTACATCATTGAGATACTTATTCTGAATGCTCACATCCTGTGCTGTGAAAACAGAGGACAGCAAAGGAAACTGCTTAAGTGTCATGAAAGTGTAACAATTCATCTGCTAAGTAATACCATGGAGGATCTTCTAGGCCAGGGGCAACATGTACCCCCAATTCCATTGCCAACAGTTGAATTATTTCACTACCTCACATGTTTGCCACCCACAGAAAAATAAAGAAGCCAATCAAACTATGTTTTGTCTGCACAAAAGGTGACAGGAGACGAGAAACCTGCTACGTTTATGATGCTGCTGCCCTGAAAAACCAGTCCTCTGTATAGATAAATTCTTCAGATAGACAAAGAGACATTTATGCTTATTCACTGGACATTACTTTTTGTCATTTGTTATGATGTGAGAACTTGTTAGTTCATGAAACATTGAAAGAATAACATCATACAGTTTGAAAATGATTACTGATTATCAATTGCTAATTGATGTAGACCTGATCAAACAATACCATGGATCATGTAGTATAAGCCTATTTCAGTTATAATAATTTATTTTTGTGTTTTAATCATCTCTTCTTTAGTCTCAGTTGTGCTGAAGTGAGCTTTATGGAGATATCATGCTTGCACACTTTAGTGAATTTCAATGGCTCAAATAATGATACAATACAAACTTGTTTATGATTATTACACAGATTTATGTTCCCAAACTGACAGCAGATTGTTTGTTGCTTTATCTGGGATGCCAGCATTTTCTGTTTACTATGCAATAGCATAATCATTTTTACAAGTATATTCATGGTAGGCAGTCAACGTGATAAATGCTAAAATTAACATATATATATATGGTATATAAATAAGGATATATATACACAAAAATATAATGAATTATGCATTATAACCTCATAACAATGTTAAAAACTTCAAATTCCATACCTCATTTGTGGAAGAGCTGCTGTAGTGAGAATTTTCTGATCTGTGTCTTTCATTAAATGAGTTAATGTTGTTATTGTTGGACAGAAACAAGTGTAATCTCTCAATAGGTAAATTCCAATTCATGATGGCATCACTATTCTTTCTGTCTTTGTGTTGCTTCATATTACTAAATCCAGTAAAGTATCCCTTTATGATGAAATAAAATAATAAAATTTGATGTAAAATAAACATCATTCTAAATATTTTATTATAAGCCATATCCTAGATTCAAATAACCTATCCAATGTTTCATATATATTTCCCTTTCCTGAATTTACTATGTTAGCTTATGTATGAATACAACTTGTTTCTAAGAGTGAAATTTCAAGGACACATGGGTGAATATGATCAATGAAAAATCATATAAAAGTCCCAAGACTTTTAATTCCACTAAAAAATCAGTCTAGAGAGATGCAGTTTTTTGCAAATATGCAAAAAAACCAGACAGTCAACACATAAAAGAATAGTGAAACAAACAAATTCAAATGTAAACACACAAAATACTCGAAAGATAAGTTTCAAGTCAGAATTCAAGCATATGTATCATAATGTGATTGGTATAAAATACATGCTTACTGTGGTTGGAGCATCCAATCCATTTGGAAGCTGAACTTTGGTCTGTTTCATCAGATTGATTTTCTTTGTCATCCTTAAAGTAATTGAGCAATTTTTTAACACGTAACAATTAAAAAAAGTTACTTCTGTTGTATTATTATGAAGACTGGTTAGTGAAGTTAAAAAAAGAAATAAAAAAAGAGAGTGAGCGAAAACATTTTGTTTCTTGGAAGAATACATTATTAGAAAACACAAAAGTTAGCAAATATAATGACTTTCAGCTAATCTGTCAGTACTGTAGATGACTAACACAGCATTACAATATTGAGTTCTAAATGAGTTACACCGGAAAAATCATAACAAAAAAATCTGTTATCTTGGCCTGTAGTTAAACAAAAAAAGAAACAATTGAAATAATTGCTTTATTAATTGGGTACTCAAACTATTTAACTTAAGGACCCCTAAGACCTAAGATGCTACAGCTGAGGACCCCACTTAATGATTTCACAGAAAATTTAAATAATAGCCACTCTGAGTGACCTTATTTTTATTGCAATTTGTTCTTTAAAAATAATCTCAAGCATATACAATGTTGTGTAGTCATATTTATTCCAATAAATAAAATCCTCACTGAAATAACTGGTGTACTCAATATCAGAGAAGTTTTAAAAAGAATATTTCTACTATTTCTACATGTGCTGAGGCCTTCCTCAGACCATCTCATGGACCCTAGTTTGGGAACCACTTACTTACATTATCTTCTACTATGAAATTATTTGAAAAACCTATAGATAAAATTGGGTATCTTCTAGTCATTACATTCAATTGTTACAATGAATCTAAAAAAAGCATAACTCATGTCTACTTTTATACCTCTATTTTAATGTTTAGAAATCAGTATCAAATTTATAGCATAGACTGATTATATTAGCATATGACACAATACCAACTTAACTGTAAGGTAATTAGTAATTTAATGTACAGAATAAATTAGTTCTTTCCTATAAAAAACTTACCAACAAACTAAAGAATATAGGATTACCACCAAAACTACCAAGCCAATAATCCCACCAAGTGCTGTGCCAATAATCAATGCAGTCTGCAGACCTGTAAAAAATAAGTGGAATTTTTGAGTGTGATACAAAGACAACATAAATTAAATAATACCTTTTAAAATGCCCAAAGAATATGAACTACGTTAACTTATTCAACATAATCTAAGTTACCCCATCTGTAATTCTATGTAATCTGCAAAAGTTTTTAGAACGTCTTACAGAGGGAAAAAGAATGTAATGAAAGTAGGCGTGATAAGTTCACAGTCTAACTGCAACAATTTCAGTTCATGATTTCATGACAGAAGATACTCCTGTACAAAGTGCACAGTGGGTTTGATTTCAGCTTTTATCAAAACATTTGTCAGCAAATTTAGCTTTATAACTTAAGTGTTAAACTGTTAATGCCAAATTTAATAAATAGTAACCTTGATTTTTCTTTTCTTGCTACTTGCATAGAAATGGTATCAATTTATTTGACACATCCAGATGAGAAACTTATCTGAGAACCAAATGGTCTAAAACAGCAAAAACTAATATTAATAACAGAAGAAATACCATTACCCAAAGAAAATGTGCAACATCAAATTTTGAGAAATTTATTTGTGACATACCCATACAAAATAAAATTATAATTGAAATGTGGAGATTTAAAATTTTATTTTGATGCAAGTTTTACTAACATTTGTTTAAGAAGAAATAATTAAAAAAACCTAAAATTCTAGCCATCTCCCTACTGAAATGCATAGATTTTCAACAGTTATGAAGCCTATTTTAACTATAATAGTTAAAAGCAATAAATTTTTGAAATTGGGGATGTCAAGAACTGTAAAATTCAACTATCCACAAAAGTTTAGTTATAACTTTCTTGTTTTTAAAGTTTTCAAAATACATCATCTAAAACCTGGGATTATTTTCTTTCTTGCAATTTATTTGCTGTAGAGCCTGCTTCCTTTGTCATGGGTACACAAGAAAGATGTTTTAATGCTTCAATGCCAACCAGGTGATACAAAGTGCATCTTCCCATATGCATAAGCTTATTGGTATAGGAAAATAAAGAAATATGGATCAACTTGGGGCACCTGAGCCACCCAGAAAGAGACTTGCAGCAAGCTATACCTCAGCTGTGATAAGAAAGTGCAACATCTTGTAAGAGGTGTGAATCCACAAATACAAAGGTCAGTAGTAAAAGCCATCCAAGCCCCACGCAACAGTACTCTATAATCAAAAGGGATCTCTGTTGGGAAAAGCAACATAAGTCACATGTATACAATTTGTTTCAATGACATATCCATACAACCATAACAAACCTCAATCAGCTGGAGAATGAAATGGGTGTATATGATTTAGTTGTTAAAATGTTTGCTGGAAAACCTGTTATCTTCATACTATAGATGGATTATAGAAATATTGCTGGGAAGATTTTTATTCTTTGGACAGAGCCTTCTGCAATGGAAATTATGCTGTTGAGCTATTGTAAAGATGCATGGTGATTACATAGGGCATGACCAGACATGGCAAAATGGATTACATTGATGTGGTGAGTTTGAATATAACATATTCAACTTCTGTAGCACTTATTAAAATTATACTTAATTCCTCGATTCTCTTCTTGATCACTGAATCTTAAATGCAGTAGCTATTAGGTACTTTCAGCAACACAAAAATGTGAAATGGAAACCTTGTGAAACTTTATTGAGACAGATGGATTTATCCAAAAAAGAAGCCAAATTTTTCAATGATTCTATTTCCTTAACTATTGTCACTAAATAAATCGTTTTTATGAATAATTGTAGAAGTTCAATTTTCCATATTGACTGACAGACCATTGTTCATTTATTTAAAATATTAAGGGCTATCTGTCCACAGCCAACCCTAATTTTGAACTGATAGATAAGAGGAGAAGCAGCTAGTCAAAAGCATCCATCATCTAGTCTTGAGCTAATCTAGTCTCACCAAACAGTGCACTGAACAAAAACTGGAAACTGAGAAAAATAAGAGGTCATGAAAATCAAAAGAAAACTCAAGCATAAACAGTGACCAAGGGATAGATATAAACAGAAATTGGAACTACATCCTAAAACTGGGAGAAAAAAAGGATTATTCCCTTTTCAGTACCATGCTTCAAAACCACACTTCAATGGAATAAAAACTACACAAAACATATAAAACATCACCAAAACACCTCATTCTACAAAACCTAAAAATGAACTCATCACAGAGTTCGAAATGTTGACATCTCAATAAAACTTCAGGCAGGAGAAGATCCATAAAGAAACTGCAGTCAAACACACTACTAAAATCATTCCCGAAAGAATTCCTAGTTGACATTTTATCTCAACTAATAATGCTTCACTAGAGACCAGCTATGCTAAGAAATGGTTTTGTAACAAAATGTGGAATCATTGACAAAAATGAATGATTCCATAAAACCACACACACACACAGATGTAGTTTATTTTATGTATTTTTTTAACTAAAAACTAAGTAAGAGAAATTTCCAGCTGTTACCTCAAACATTTTAATGTTTTTTTTTAGATTTTAGTGAAGTAAATTTTGCTAAAAACTATGACAGTATTTCATTTCATTTAAGGTAAATATTATGCATCAATTCCAATTTCCTTGCAAGACAGTATGATGTTATGCTGATCATCTGTGCTAATTACAAAATTTATTGGAGAAATATAAACATAAATCTTCATGTTAGAAACCATATTTCATGACAAGTATATTCAAAAAAATGTGCAGCACCTACATATGTTGTGAAAAGCTAAATTCAATAAATAGCAATTATCATACATTTAATGGCTGCAATATGAAAATTCAAATATTGAACAAAAACAAATACTTGTAAAAAGTAAAAAAAAAATACATGATAAAATCCACAGAATATAATAAAAGACATATAAATAATTCTTCATGTTATTAAAACAAACACACCAAGAAAAAGTTAAAACTTTAACTTTAATTAAAGTGATATTTTATTAGTAAAGCTATTTAGTTCTATATACTTAACTGAAAGGTACATAAACATTTCTATAGCATTACCATTAACTTTTGATTAAAGCAAATTACCTATTTATACTGGAACTAAAAATTAGCCTAATACTTAATCCCATCATGCATTAGGGCAAAAAGCATAATATCTGTTTTTATATGTGCACTGAATCTTAGAATCTTTGGCAATACCACTATGAGAACAGCAAATGAAATTTTTGGCTTTTCATGCTCTATGGTGCATTCCAGGCCATTTGGGAACATTTATATTCCCATTATTTAATACTAACTAATATTGCAATATCAAATTTATAGCCCAATTTACATATGAATTAGTCACCTCTTGAAATAATTAGACAGATACTAAAGTAATGATTATACAAGCTAAGTAGAAATTAGTTATTTCATGAAATATTCAGGTAATAATTGTACAAATCAGCTTCCACTAGAGCAAATTACTGACTAATAATTTACAAACAGTCTTCTAAAAGATAAATATATAATATTATGTATGATCATGCATGAACCTCTGCCTCTCCTACCATGCTTTTCTTTTCAATCCTAAAGAAAATTCATGCATGCTGTAATTTGTGTGCATTGTGACAGTTTACTTTTTCAGCAAAATTTGGTTCATAAAGGGACATAATTTAATGGCAGATAACACGTTATATCACTGTCCAATTTAAACTCCATCTAACTTACTTCACACACAAAAATATACAATGAAAGATAAATGTCTATTCTATCTAACTGTATGCAAATTGACAAAACGTGCACACCATAAAGGTGGAGAGATTTAAAGCCTACCTTTATGATGATCTATTTCAATAGTCTATCATTGCATCTTAATGGTTTGTGAATGTTCAAGGTATTGGAATACCATAGACTTCAAAGTATGTTTTGTGACTGATCAGCTGTTCATTGAGAAACCAGTTAAAAGGAGATTTGCATATTGATTTCAGTTTAGCATAAGTGTCAAATTAAACAAGTCAATTTCAGATCAAATCTGCTACTATGCTAGTATTTTGTTTCCACCCCCAGTACCCCCTTCAACATTTATCTCACTGGATTTGAAAATACTGGGCTTATGATTAACATGACAATAGAAATGGCAGCCAATTTTCATTCCTGATACTAACTTTCTCTCCCTAAATAGATATACTTGCCCTGGCTAAGCATATAGTGTTTTATAGTGGTTATTTGTTGTGTAGGTCACATTACATTAACTGCCTTACTTCTGCAGCTGTATATCATCATTTAGTTATGATAAACTTGGGAAAATAACAGAATCAACTATACTTTCATTTCTATAAAAGGATTACCTCCATATCTTCTCAAAGAAATCAAAGCAGTGAGTGTTAGATAAGACCCATGACTTATTCCAAACAAGTTTTGAATACTGGATTCCCATAAAGTGTGCAAAACATGCACATATATCAAGACAAATAAAATAAGTAACTGAAAGCAGCAGGTCTAAAAATGTCATGCATGTGATTTTTTGAGAACTACTAGAAAATTTATCAATATATCACATCACAAAACAAAATATTCTATCAAGATATCATAAACGACCAGTTTTGGTGGCTATGAAACTATGTAGCAAAAACCACGAATTAACAAATGTACAAAGAAAAAATGTTCTGCATAGGCAATAAATGAGCTGCTGCAATAATGAGTTTAATGCACATAATTCAAAATTTGAAGCATACAGTGTTATAAAACAAAGACTGTTAAGATTAGAATGCACTGGTTCATCAGTTAAATACCCTTACTGTAAGATATACTTTTGTTTATAATCTCAATTATATATTTCATGATTTTTTGCATCTTAGGAGATTTAAGTTAATCCTAAATTTATATACCAAACTAAGAATGCAAATAATCCCCATAGAAAATTATACAGTAAAACAGAAGAGTAATAAATGAATAAGAATATATTAAACTTTTAAACTAATACTGTTAATGAAAATAACATTAAAGCTAGAACAGATTATAACTTACTTAAAACTTAGATAATTAGAATTTAGACTATATTATACTGAACTTTACAGTTGCTAGGTGGATCATCCTGACTGATCCTGTAGCAAAAGGATTTTTACAATTATTCACTAGTTTTGTATATTGTAATAATGTTACACATATTATTCACAGAAAGAAAATAAATTAGAAAAACTTTTTCACCATCAGTAAAGCACATCTTTGTTTGTGTTGAAGGACTAGTTGGGCCAAGGAGGTTTGTATTGTTTTTCAAGTTCACTGCTTGTATACTGAAAGAAATTGTGGGGCTGTGCAACTGTGTTGAACAATTTAGTGGAATAACCACACTAGTCTTGCAGCCTGGTACATTAATAAATTCTGAACGGGATCCATTTTCTCTGTATTGCCACTTCAAATTCAGCAGGTAGAAGTTTACTGGACCATTTGGATGATCTGGAGGTGACCACTTGATCCGAACAGCAGTGGAATTGATCACTTCAATGTGAGGCTCTTCCATCACACCAGGAGCTGAGATAAAAGAACTTTGTTTTGTAACAAAGAAACTTTCTTTTTATAGTACTTATAAAACCTAATCAAATTCTTATGAGATAATGATGTGTCAAGTTCACTCCTAAATTAGACCTTAACTAAAAAAATTAATGACAAGGTATTTTTTTTTGTTATTATAGCTAATATATTTCAATAATGTCCAAAATGGATTAATCATATATATAAACTCTGAATGTAAAATTCTTATTTACTATCAACATCATAATTTCAAACTGTGATTTCAACTTTTAACATAATACTATCTTTTTTGTTTTAATTATGAAATAAGCATTAAGAATAGAATATGATTTTTTTAAACATAAGCAATAAATTAATGACAGAGCAGAGACTGCATTGTTCCTTTGCTACCTTCATGATGATTTTTACTAGTAAGTGCTAAAATGTTGCCCTGATGTAAGCTTAAAATGAATCTTTGGTAAAATACACCATTTTTCTTGAGTTTACAATCATTTTCAATTACTAAACAAGTCCCACAGTTTAGTGTACACATGAAGCAAGTTCTAACTTACAAGTTTGTCTGTATCAAACTGCTTATTTGGTAAATGCATTGAGTATTAATTTCCTGCTAATTGCTCATATTTTTCAATAAATGCATGTACGTTTTGAGATTTTCTCACCATCTATGAGTGTCATTCCATGAATAATTTCCGAAGGTGGAGAGCAATATCTATCAACACATGCTTCAACTACAACAGAGTAGTTAGTATAACTCTCTATATTTTTCCATAAAATCACAGATGGGGATCCCTCATCTTTGTTGACAAAGACTTTCTGAGAATTATTCTTGTAGTGTACAACATAATGGGATATGATTCCATTTGGCTCTAGAGGAGCCTTCCATGTTAAATACATGGCAGTGGCATTAATATCTAGAATCTTCACATCCCAAGGAGCTGAAGGAGCTGGTTCAAAAGAAGAAATCATTAAAGTTAATCAATTAAACATTAAAAACATTATGTATATAGTAATTGGAACTAAGAGAGAAGCAAAACAATGAATGTAAAATGTCTTAAAATCCAAATAACATGTTCATTCATTATAAAGTTACATTGTTTCAAATCCTTTGAATATACAAGTATTAAAAAGAAACAACACAGCTATAAATAATATTAAATTGGTTTTCAATGTTATCTTGATACTTAAAATTTCTAAAAGCATTTGTAACTGTAAACTTTTATAATTTGCTAATCAAGTGAAAAATTCCTAATTTAAGAAACAAGTTACATCATGCAAAAAAATGTCAATTTTTAAAAACAATTATGATGACAAATTATTATTTTTTCAGTGGAAATTGTGAAAAAGGCATATTACTATAAATTGATAGTGTCAATTTACTGAAACATGATTTAATTGTACCCTTGATATAAGATGGATTCGTATTTATGTTAAAGCAATTTTAACCTTAAAGCTACTTCATCAAAATTTGTAATTATAATGTCACATCGTTTAAGCCAATACTCACTTGCATTTTAAATTTCAACTTTTCATTGATACTTCACTAGCATGTTATGGTGCAGAATTTTATTCCCCTCCTCCCAATACTGTTTATCTCACCATCAAATTAGTAAAGGTTTAATAACTGAAAATTCCATTATATCTATCCTTCTTGGTTCATTCCTTTTTTAAAAAAAACCTTATAGGTGTGTTTTAGAAATGTGAATAAAAATTTAGTTACCCCTTTCAGAAGCAGTTTTCAAGAAGCTACACATCCACTTTCTACTAATGTATATGTTTTTAAAGTAACATTCACACTAGTATTTACAGCAACCTTAATGGCATGGTCTGTATTTGATCATTGTTTGTTTCATAAAAAGCAAATACTGAAATTGTGAACATCAATTTCAAGGAATTTCAGCTTTCTACTTCACTTTATTATTAACAGTGCTAGTTCCATGTACCCGCTACCGAAACACACAATCTTTCTGTAACATTTTGCATGTAGTATCCCTACCAAGCCAAAAATATGCTTTTTCAAACTTATCATGTAGTATTTCAGCCTTAAGAGCCATGACTTGATTCACAATACTGGGCATAGTATGATTGCCTCTACTTTCATACACTTTATATTGATGTGGAATTTTCCAGTTTGTTGGATGATAACTAATCACAGTATAAACTATCAACAAATGACTGTATTCTAGTGTAGTTCATTTTCTCATAATAAATGGGTGGTATTCTCATATATTTGTTTTTATACTCCTTTTTTTTCCTCACCATTTTCATTATCATGAGAATGTGTTCCTAATAATCTTGAGAAAAACAGGTTTAATTAAGAATTATAGACTATAAAGGTATGTTAGTACATAAATAAACATTTATGTCATTGAAAGACATTTTATACACTAACTCAAAACAATACTCTATGTAGTTCACAACACATGCGAACATTATGTTGAAGTTGAAGACGAGAGCTAATTGAAAGGGATGTAACTGAAGATTCAAGTCTCGTGACTGCTAGTCTGAAACTGGTCCTCAACTTGCAAAAGTTGTCTAAAGTTCTTCGACTACAATTGTGAATTCACGTATGTAGTTCACTTTTAGTCATTTCACTGGGCACTCCTTAGGTGACTAAACAATGAAGACAGTTATGCTAGCTTTAAAATTTTAGTTCAGGTTTTACCAGATATTTTAGCCATTTTCACAAAATTTTAGAATGGCTAGTGCAATCACTAATTCCAATTTTAAATTACACATTTTACTTTTACTTAACATGGAGAGAAGTTCGTTAATATTTTTCACTTTATAAACTTATGACTTACCTCCTGATTTGGTTCTTTCAAATTCTGGTTCACTCAAATCACTGATCCCTCCTTTACTGAAGACTTGGATGGTCACTCGATACAGTGTGAATGGTTTCAAGCCATTTATTTGTATTTCTGTTGCTTCTTGATTGTCAACTGTCACATTCCAAAGGTCTAAACAAACAAAAGAAATACAAAGATTTAACAATGGAGTTTTACAAGTTCAGAATATAGAGAAATTATTGTTCTTATTAATGGATATGCATTCCTATAAATATTCCAAGGAAAGTACAAGATGTTACACTTACAAATGATCAATAAAAAAAGAAACACACACACAACGTACTGGTTATCACATTCAGCACCACAGTTTGAAATATCTTATGCACTGTATAATTTTTTGTATGCTTTATAATTTTTCACAAAACTACTCAAGTGCCATCAGCCATCCATATTTTTGAATAGACAGATGAGAGAGAAGGCAGCTAATCAATAACACCTATTGTCAACTCTTGGACTAGCTTCTATCTGACTAAATTCTGGGATTTGATTGCCATTCTTATAATGTCTCAATGCCCCCAAAAGAGCTGAACATACTTTTGCAACAACAGAAAAGAAGCTACAGACCATTGAATTCACACTCTGGACATGACAAAAATTATACCACGCCCAGCCCTATACATTATATACAAGTAATTTAAAAAATTCATAGAGGTAAAAATGATGTAGGGATGGCAGTGCCAAAAAGTACAGAAACAAAGTAGGAATGAATACACAAAACCATACAAAATTCCTACATAAGTAGCCAAATCTTTCCAAGAAAAACTTTTATCAAGAACTAAAGTTGAATTCCTTTCACTTGCATGAATTCAGGTTTGAATAAAAAACATTTAAGCTGAATAATGCTATACAGTCTTATATTGGCTAATTCTCATAAGCTTATAACATTGTAACTTATGTAGGGATTTTTGTATGATTTTGTGTATTCATCCCTACATTATTTCTGTACTTTTTGGTGTTGCCATCCCTACGTCATCCTTATTTTTTTTCAAAATTGATCTTATTACTCATTTCCCCCTTTTTTTTTAAACAATACCAATGAATATTTGATAATGAATGACAGTCACTATAAAGGCAGCAGTTATTAAAAGGATCCATCTCTAGTTATTGTCTGGTATGTTTTAAATTTTAGTTAATGAAGATGACAAACAACTTCATAAAAATGTTTAATTACTTGTACCCAACATTTCGGCTTACTCCTCCATCAAGAGGATATGAACGTCACAGGTTACCAAACTGATTTTAAATGACAGTAACCGAAAACGAAACAGTAATATGTTTTAATTGTGATTTGTACACTTCATACTATTGATTTTTCATAAGCATTTCATATTGTAAGTCCTGTAGTATCATCGAACTAAAGAAACGTTCAATAATTAGAGAAACAGATAATATGCCTAAAAATTTCTAATATTTATAATGGATTATCTAAAATACTTGTGCCCAAAACACACATAAAAAAAATATGATTCATAAGGTAACATTATTTCCCATTCATTTGGCATTAGAATCTTCTATCATTTTACAAAAAATGTCTCAAACATATCAAAACACTATGTATTCCAGACATATGGTGAAATAAAATACTAGTCTTAGTATTCCATATGTTTTCAATAAGCTTTCAGAGATTACAAATCCACCAATTCTTTTTAGATAACTGAATTAAATTGTTGCTAGGTGCTAGAAAAAACTAGTAAATTAATAGCTATGAGAAAAACCTAATTATTATTATAATACTACATGCATCCATCAACAAACTGTGAAGAAGATCAAAATATCAACTGAATGAGACAGTATCACTGCTAAACATATATTGAAGTTACAATATCACTGATCTGGCTGAAAGATAATGAATTTACAGGTATCTTAGTCACCTCTTTATCAACAAATATATAATGTCCTTCAGATCAACTCTAATTAAAACTTGTTAAGTAAAAGCCAAAAGGTCATTTGCTTTTAGTAGGTGAGTTTGCAAGGACAAATAATTTATTTTTTAGAAAAGAACACCATTGTGTTGATACATAATAACAAGCAGTAAAGTATTTCAAATCACTGAAGACCTTCTGTTTCTCTCCATTTGAGTTGTTAAAAGCCAATTAAATTTTCAGCTTCCTTACATTTATATTTAAAAGCTATTTGACTATAATTATACTGAAATACTATCAAAATGCTTACTTTGTTTACATGCCTCTTGCCTGGTTTCCACTTCACAGTAATCAACTTTGTACTTCACAACCACTTTCTTCTGAGCACTACACAGTAATCTCCATTCAACCTTCAGGTGCTTAACACCTGAAGAGAGGCGTACATCTTGAACTTTATCTAATGCTGCGAAAACGTTTATAAATAACTCACATTAAAAAACATTCAAAGCTGTTAGATAAAATATAAATATTCAAAAGACTAAATGTTCTTTCAAATGATATGATATAACTAATCAAATCATAACCATTCGAATCCAGAATATTAAGGCAAAAAATGCCCCTGAAACTAAGGATTTTACAGTTGTATTACATTATATGTGGATTCTGTTATTGACTAGTGATTCTCCTACACTAAAATACTTATTTGGTTAAGAAAGATTATATATAGAACTTTACAATTTGTAGAAAAAGTAACTTTCAAGTGAAAGAGAGAATCTATTGTGACAGAAAATCACTTACATTATATACCTAGCATAATGTAATTAGTTATATTATAAGCAATATACTTTTTTTTATAAAAACTGCTGTCTTATGTTTTATGTGTAAACTTTACATACCAATATTGTAAAGCATCTTACAACAAAATAATTACAATAAAGTACAACTAAAAAGAACAGTTAAAAGGCAAAAGCTTATTTTACATGATGATACAAAAATTGAGCTCCACTTTGATTTTTCAAAGTTCTGCCCTTAAAATTTTTCCAAGATCTCAGGTGTTTCATTTATGATCACCCACAGAACCAATGACCAATATGTATACAAAACATAAAAACATTCTTGCTTGGGATGATTCAAACTAAAAACTGTAGTGACCGACTTTGTAACCACCAGTTTCCATATTCTAGCTTTTAATGTGTTTCGTGTATCTTCATGAAACTTAGCAAACTTTCAGTAAAAATTACAAGTCTTTTGTACACAAAAAATCAAATATTTTAATCAAGTATTTTTATTAAAGATTTGTTCATGAATAAATGAAATCAGAGTGTTGACTGCTTTGAGCACAAAGTGATTTTCATGTTAAGATTAAAAACAAATTTTCAAGTTTCATTTGTACAACCTCTAAAACCTTCTAAATAAATATTGAACATTTTATTGCAGTTTGTTTGTTTTGAAGTTTGTGCAAAGCTACATGAGGGCTATCTGCACTAGCTGTCTCAAATTTAGCAGTGAAAGACTAGAGGAAAGGCAGTTAGTCATTACCACCTACTGCCAAAACTTGGGCTACTCTTTTACCAATGAATAATGGGATTCACCATCACATTATAACACACCATGGCTGAAAGGGCAAGCATGTTTGGTGTGACAGCGGTTCAACCTGCGACCCTCGAATTGCGAGTCAAGCACCCTAACCACCTGGCCATGTCTGGCCCATTTTATTGCAGTAAAACTTTGTTATCTGTTATTTTCTCTACCAAAACTCTACAGACTTGTAACAACCATAAAAAAATATGAAAATAAAATGACTGCAGATTGAGACAGAAAACTATAATTGTTTATTCTCAGTACCTTAAGGCTCGTAACAGTCAACATGTGTTTATACTTAATTTTATTGTTTTATTGCCCTTTTAACCATGTCTAACTAATAACCTCCCCCCCACAAGTTGCAGATCATATGTAGCTCATGTTATTATATTGAATGACGTAATATATAAACTGCTCGAGCACACCTCATGAAGAATTTATATTACTATTATTTCTTTATCTTACTTAATCTAACCCTACCTAACCTAAATTTTCATAATTTTTAAATTGTAGTTAGAATATAGTTGAAAAACATGAAATATATTACTTAACTTTGACCTTTTGTTTCATATTGTCAGTTGCTGATGAAATTTAAGTTTACTTTTTTTTATAATAATGGTATTAGTGCACTAAGGAATTCTTATTTACTTAAATAATGCACCAAAGGACACAGAATAATAGCTCACACAAAGCAAAAGATGTCAGATGACTATTATAATTTAACTGACTTTTCAAATAAGACATGAGGAGCTTCAATTAATTCATATTAACAGTCAGAACAACAAGAGATAAATTTTCAATCTGAAGAAGAAATTGACAATACCCTGCATTGAAAACAATGGTTAATGAGATGGTTA